GATATGTAAATATGAGTAGTAATTAAAGAATTTAAATAAAAAGAAAACTAGATGTTATTACACTTCTGTCACTGCAATTTTGACATTGAATTATATTTATACAACTTGAAAAGACAGGACTGTCTTTGGGTAGTGGCTTTGGAGGTTGGACGGGGGGGGGGGGAATGGGTGACTATGAGGGAAGGGCAATGCCACATACATATATAAACAGGCTAGAATGAAGCACATTCCAAAAAAAGTGTCAGGGTGTAGTCTTCTGATAGATAAAATGCTAATAATGCCCAGCAAATTGAAAAGCGTGTTGTATATGTCATGTTTGTGGTAAGAATGGCACACAAAATGGAGATAGTGTTTGTGTGTTTCAGAATATTCATATTTAGCTGGCAGCTTCAACAAGTGAAGTTTTATCATTTATCTATATATTATTTAAATTTGTGTCTTATTTTTACTGAGATGAAAAATTAACCAAAATTTATATTGAAATTCAGAGAGCAGGTTAGTGCACTTTCTGCGGTTGGCTCCCATGCTGTCTGCTCCAGCATGTACTGCAACCTCTGTGACCATGCAGAGATGGGGACTAAAAGTGCTGCTGTAGAGACTCTCTCATGACACAGAGCATCTCCTGCCACTGAAGAGGTAACGTTTAATTTCTGACAGGCAGCTCACTCTGTGTAAATGTGGTGTTTTAGTTGACAATTATAAATTGTACATATTTTTCATAGCAACATGTCTTGAAATATGTTCTAGGTGTGTTTGAGCTACATCAGAGGTATATAACACTGAGAATATTCTGTTGATAGAATTCCCCATTTGAAGAATTGTCCCTTGTTTCAATAAATCACTTTAAGGAGCCATTTAAGTGAGAAAGCATGGAGGTGATATGGGAGGGAGAATAAAGGAAGGTGGCTGAGCCCCTCTGAATGACAGTGAGAGTATGTGACTACAATGCACTAAGTGCTTGCTTTTGATCAAGGGGAAGGACTGTTGGAGAGAGCCCTGACTTTATGTAGCTCGTTTTTTTTGTGCCGCTAGGAGAGTGAAGAGGAACAGAGCAGAGAGACTCTGCAGAAGCTGGATGCGATGGCAGTAGATAATAAATGTCAGTCCCACGAGGTCATCCGTGGTAGGAATTAGGGAAAGTAAGGATCAGTTCATGTCCTTAGGAATGTGGGATTGGGGCATGGGCCAAGTTTTATACAAGGAAAGGTGATTTCTGAAGAGCAGGGAGCAGACACAGCTGACCTTGGCTTACAATGAAGTAATTCAAGATGGTCATTAGTGTTTTTGTAGTCTTTGCTTTTGTGTACTTCCACGACCCAGACTGGGTGGGGCTCCGTATTGGATATTCTGTAAGATCTTGATTTCATTAATGTTGGGAAGACACCACAATGGTTGTGTTACATGTTCACGTGGTTGAGATGAGACACTCTTGCCTGGGAAAACACTCTTCTGGTTTCCTTCCACTTTCATCTGGCACTGAGAGAGCCCTGCACAGCATCATATGCACAACCATGGTTTGGCTGAGGGCCAATACAAAATTGTGTCCTATGGTTTGAACTTTAGCTTGTTGAGTAGGAAGAGGCACCATGCAGTGAATTTTTTTCCTGAGGCAAATGTTTATAGTTAAAATATGCATGCTATAAGAAACAGGGAAAGGTGCTTCTAGAATGCCAGCTGTGCCTTGGGGTTAGTGTCAGGGGACCCCAGGACAGTAAACTGTACTTTTTATTGCCAATGAACCTCCACTAAGTGTTTTTCCTTCTTCATTTAAAAGACAAACATGGTACTACTGTGTGGAATATAAGGTTTGGAAACATATACATGTATAGTGGAGGCTTAAGTTGAAAAAGAAAACAATAAATAATGGATCACATATTTGTATGCTTAAATTTGTAACAATGAGTTATTAACAAATGATTTATGTGGCCCGGAGAGATGGGTCAGCAATTATGAGCACTTTCTGCACTTGCAGAGGAGCTGGGGTTTGGTTTCGAGTACCAACGCCTGACAACTCTCAACTGACATATCTCTAGCTCCTGGAAAGTCAACACCCTTTTCTGGCCAACAGGGCAGCCCCCCACACACATACATTCACATCCAGGCACACACACAAACACAAACACACAAACACACCCACACCCACACCCCCCCACACGCACGCACACACACACACACACTACACACACAAATAAAAGATATTTCAAAAAAGAAACATTTAGAAAATCAAAATGTTTCTACTGAATGGTTAATTCAATAACTTCTTGCTGCAAATGATTTTGCTTCCAGGTTAAGTTTATGTGCTTATTTAAATTTAAAAACTTCATAGAAGTATATATCATAAAGAAACAGGGTGAGACTTGGATTGTTTGTGATGAGCGAATTCTTTTTTCCACTCTATTCTTTTCATACAATTATGAAAGTGCTGGTAGAGAGGAACTTTGGGAATGCTGGGGACTAGAAACATTACTTTTGTAAGTACTTTGTTTCCCCCTTGAAAATGCACTTGAATGTAGGTACCACTGGATGTCACTGTTGCACCATGCAGGTGGGAGCAAATGTCAGACCCACTGAAGAGGACTGAAGAAGGCAGCTTCCAGCGAGGAGCAGTGCATCTGTGCAAAAAGTAAGTTCAAATGAGGTAACCCAGTCGCAAAAAGACAAAAATGGTATGTATTCACTCATATATGGATTTTAGACATGGAGCAGGGGTTTGCCAGCCTACAATCTACACCGACAGAGAAGCTAGGAAACAAGGAGAACCCTAAGAGAGACATACATAATCCCCTTGGAGAAGGGGAAAGGGACAAGATCTCCTAAGCTATTTGGGATCATGGGGGGAGGGGAGAGGTAATTAGAAGAAAGAGAAGGGGAGAAAATGAGAGGAGAGGAGGACAAGAGAGAGCAGGAAGATTGAATCAGGAGAATAGAGGAGAGCAAGAAAAGAGATACCATAATAGAGGGAGCCATTATAGGTTTAAAGAGAAATCTGGCACTAGGGAAATATCCAAAAATCTACAAGGATGACCCCAACTAAGAATCTAAGCAATAGGGGAGGGGCTACCTTGAATGCACTTCCCCTGTAATGAGACTGATGACTACCTTAAATGCCATCCTAGAGCCTTCATCCAGTAGCTGATGGAAGCAGAAGCAGAGATCCACAACTAAACGCTCTGAATGGTTTCTTCGAGTTTCATCCATTTGCCTACAAATTTCAAGATTCCATTGTTTTTTTTCCGATGAGTAGTACTCCATTGTGTAAATGTGTCTCATTTTCTCTATCCACTCTTTGGTTGTGGGGCATCTAGGTTGCTTCCAGGTTCTGGATATCATAAATAAAGCTGCTAGGAACATAGTTGAGCAGATGTCCTTATTGTATGAATTTGCTTCTTTTGAGTATATGCCTAGGAGTGGAACTGTTGAATCTTGTGGTAGACTGATTCCCAATTTCCTGAGGAATCTCCATACTGATTTCCAAAGTGGTTGTACAAGTTGGCACTCCCACCAGCAGTGGAGGAGTGTTCCCCTTTCTCTACATCCTCTCCAGCATAAACTGTCATTGGTGTAGGGGGATTGCCAGCCTACAATCCCACCACCAGAGAGTCTGGGAAACAGGGAAGACCTTAAGAGAGACATGCATGGTACCCCAGAGAAGGAGAATGTTATAGGATCTCCTGAGCAAATTGGGGGGAGGGGAGAGGGAGCTGGGAGAAAGAGAGCAGGATAAGTGGAGGGGGGAGAAGGACATGGGGGGAGCAGGAAGGTTGAGTCAGGGGAAGAATAGAGGAGAGCAAGATAAGAGATATCATAATAAGGGAGTCATTATAGGTTTAAAGAGAAATTTGGCACTAGGGAGATTTCCAGAGATCTACAAGGATGATACCAACTGGCAATCTAAGCAATAGTGGAGAGGCTACCTTAAATACCCTTCCTTGATAATGAAATTGATGACTACCTTATATGCCATTCTAGAGCCTTCATCCAGTGGTTGATGGAAGCAGAGGCAGACAGTCACAGCTAAATACTGAACTTAACTCCTGGAACCAGTTGCAGAGAGGGAGGAGTGATGAGCAATGGGGTCAAGACTGGGCTGGTGAAACACAAAGAAACGCTGATCTGAACAAGGGGGAGCTCAGGGAACCCAGACTGATGGCCGAGAGGCCAGCATGGGTCTGATCCAGACCCCATGAATGTGGGTGTCAGTGAGGAGGCCTTG